TGTGTTGGAGCAAGAAAACCTCTAAAACATGCAGGATAGCGGCCCTCGAGGACAGGAGTTTGACACCCCTGATCTAAAACAATGTGAATTGCAATCTGAACAGAACAAGGTCCCAAATAATGTCTCTGGCTCTTTGAAAGTTTTTTTTGGACTGAAGCAAACCTTTTATGCTACGTTTACACCAAASGCATTGCGTGCCACCAAAAATCTTAAAACGCATGCATCTTGATGCTGGTGTCCAGTGAGGACAGACGCWTTTGATGTGAACGTGCTTCCTTGAACGTGCGACAGGAGGAGCCTTTTTAACCGTAGTTATGATAACTTACCAAACATGCCRACTTCCTCACTAATCGTCCTCCAGGCAAAGTCCTTTTTTTTCTATCACGATAACGGACACCGGAATGATCATAAATGATTGGACTATCAGTTTTTCCTCCATTGTTTGTGTTATCAGATTTCCCGGCTTCCGGTATTTCCAGATCGTCACCAGTGCGTCACTGAGCAGAGACTCTCTGGTTGGTTGATGCAACGCRTCAAGCATCAAAAGTYCAGATTTTCCAACTTGTGCGTCGGGCGCTTTCTAGGTGCCGCAACCACGGAAAACTCTCAAGACATGCGAAATGCTTCGAAATGCGCTGCTCYAATGCCGCCAGACRCGCTGCTCGGCTTCTAGACGCCCCTAGATGCGCGTCCACCATTGACTTTGCATGTAAACCAGATGCTCCTGATGCTCAAAACGAGTTTGGTTTAAATGTACCATTAGATTTCTTACCTGGCAGCAGAGGGTAAACAGCCTGTCTGTAGTCTTTGGTCATCTTGTGGATGAATGTCTGTCCATGGAAGTAAATACTTTGAAAGTCTTTGGGGGAACCCATATTGATCAAGTGCCAGCGCACAAGCTGTTGGGAGTACATCCTCAAGCCCTTAAGGCTGTATATTATTCCATTGATAGCTACAGAAACAACAGACAAGAAAACACAGTTTGTCTTTTGTTAGCTGGTCATTAGATTAAAAAATAACAGTGTTTAAGCTTAAGTTGAATATTTATGTAGCCAGTGTGTAGAACTATATTTACATGTTCTTGTTGTATTGCTTATGACTATCATTTGTTTTATTAAGTTCAAACAGAGTATAAAGGAAAAGTGTTACTGTGAAACTTGAATTTCTCATGGTTTGTATCCAGAGTTCTTCTTCGGCTCTTCCGCTGAATGAGCTCATAGTTCTTGTTGTAGTACCAGCTTTGTGATTCATCAAAGGTCATGAAAAGGAGAACAAACTCCGTCATTCTGTGCAAGGTGTTGTTGTGCAGGGTACCTTCATGACACACCAGCAAAGGTCCAATTAAGCCTGAATGGATGTCCCTTTCCTAAAAAAACATTTTATTTTAAATCAATCTGTTGTACTTGTTTTATATGTAAAAGTATTTTGTAGTAAGTACTCACAGGATTAACACCTGAGTAGTATGCCCAGGTCCGACACTGAGACTCCTCAGATGTTGGACCAACCATAGAACTGACCTTCCATAAATATGTGAAGGTAGTATTGGGTTGAACYTCATTGTCATATTTATACCAATATTTGCAGCCATCTTCATAAGACAGACCCTCAGACAGTTTTGTATAGGAAACCCCATTAGGGTGTAAAGAGTATGGTCGATTTGCCTTGTTCTTGAAAACAATCTGTAAGAAAGGAAGACTTAATTTGTACTTGGGTATTCAGAACTAATAAGACATAATGAGTTATTGGGAAATTTTATCTACAGTATGTCTGTAGGTGTGTATTCACTTACAGTCAGATGCCCGTTACTTTAGTTTTACGYAGAAGGTAAAACCTTTACAAAAGCTGATATACAGATTTTGCCACCTTTGATCAGAGCTTGGCTTGTTGTTTG